GGCTGAGCTGTGATCACTCCAGTCCTTGGGTCTTTGCACAATCCTGACTTGCCTGTCTCTTCCTCCATGGTCTAACAAAGCAAGAATGGTGGATTGATACATGTACATGTATAATGTTGTTGCAGAAATTGACAATGCAGCACATAATGTTCTTGTGTATGGCCAGTGAACCTTTTCAAAGTTGCATGAGCAGTGAACAAATACATGTACCATGTTATCTTGAGGCTAAAGTAGGTGATTCATGTTTTCCAGTAAGCAGACGATACAGGTAATTTGACACACATCATGTCCATACACACTGTTCGTGTACATGTATGTCAAATAATTTTTTAATCGGTGATTAAACTTGTAGCATTCTTAAAGGTTTCACTTCAACATCATTGGTACAGGTTTCTACTCTTGAATTTGTGTGATGATGAACATGTACATGTATGATAGTGGTACTGTTGACATTCATGCATTTTCAATTCTTACATGTTCATGTTGGTAAGTGCAGATTTACACATAATAATCAGCATGCTACATTTACAGTATGTGTGCATGTAACACATTGATACCAATTTCCTTCTTGGGGGAAAAAATTAAAAGGCAAGTGCTTGATCTGGCGAACAAACAGATAACCAAATAAAAAGGAGGACCAGGAGAAGGGGTTTGAAGTTCTGAAATCCTTTCTCTGTTGAGCCATTTTTCTGAACCATTTCCATAAATATTTCCCCAAGCCCACATCCCTGTTGGTCTTCCGCCACTGTGTACTCCTCGCACATTTTCTGGAGAAGAACGTGTTGTGATTACCATTTGGTTGACATAGTCTCAGTCATCTTATCAGCAAGCGCAGTGGAGATGCTGCCATGTTGGCCAGCCATTAAATGCATGCTTGTTGTCTGTCATCAGTATGAAAACTGGGCACATGTCACAGGCACGTTTGGGGTAATCAGTATTGGCCAGAGTCAGGAAATTAGTTTTCGCAGTGGTCACTCAGTAATTTGGCCCAGTCAGGCAGAAATTGGAATTTCTACACAATCTGTGCAGCAGTTTTGCTCTGTTTGAAATACATGTCCATACGTACTTGTACGTGAGTGATATACATGTATATACATGTATAGTAGTTGTAGAGGACAATGTAAGAGAGTTTCGCAATACTGCTCATGATTTTGAATTATTATTTGGATCATGATCCTTCGTGTAACAGGGCGTGAGTGAGCTGAATGCCCTATAAATACATGTACATGTAGCACTCATTCCAGTGTGAGAAACATGTGACAATACAAAATGAGTTGGAAGTCACCAGAGCCCCTTTTGAGTGAAGGCCTTTGAGAGAATCTTGCACGATGGAAATAGAGACCCTCAATATTTTCCACTCAAATCATATCTGTTCTTGGCCCAGCACACACTGAGTGATACACGTACATCAAAATAAAGAGCTTATGTTGTTCTTTCTAATACAAACTAAAACAAAATTACTGGGAAAGGATGATGTCAAGAGTAAAACGGTCTTGTCTCCTCACTCACAAATGGTCTGGAAATAGTCCAGTTATTGTCAGATATGCTGGACATATCACTATCAAGAACATCCATTTACAAGTACATGTACAGCTAGAATATTACGTGTAAAATTTGGTGCTTGTACGACATCAGATTCTGTACTACATGTGTGCAATTTTTATTAAGAAAAAAATGGTACTGGTAAATGTATATTTGAGCCATGTTATGTCAGGTTTGTGAATAAATAATGTTGTCAGCTTTTTTTAGACTTTGAGGTTTATAATACAGGAATAGGAAAAGGAAAAATGATTTGGTTCCAATATGTGGCGTAAATTTCAACTGCCAAACTGTTCTTAGCTATCATTTCAAAAGTACTCGTACGCATACATGTACATGGACATGTACTGTACATGTGCTTGTGTGTGTGTTTGTATATTGTGCAGCTGAGTGACAAGTGAGAACTGGTGCACCAGAATATGTTGTGCATAATCCTGGCAGCTTATTATCTGTGGGGGAAGAACATGGCCATTGGGTTCATGCACATATACAAAAACACACTTTCTATTTGCAGTCCTTAAGAAGTGTAAAGGAAAATATTAACGGTTCTAGCTTTATTTTACGTAATTCATTAGTCTGCATTCTTTTGGGAAGTCTATATCAGAGAGAATGTTGGTATAAACAAATTTATCATTGAAGATTCTCTTCTGGTGGTGTTTCTGGTGCCAGTGACACTGTTCTGGCTGGGTTACATGTATGTTGAAAAATAATTTTTAGATTTACATCCATGTAGATTGTATTTGAATGCTCTAACATTGTTCCTCTAAAGTTTTTGCTCTGTTTGGTGTAAAATGGAGCCTGGAAACAGTGGAGAAAACACCAGCAAATGTTTTGTTTTCACCTCAGTTGACAAAATGTAATATCAGTGTTTCCAAATCTATCTTTTTTTTCCCAAAAAGATTGTACATGCATGTACCCAGTACATGTATGTTTGCAGTCCTTAAGTAGTGTTGGGGCATTATGTGGTCGGGGAATATTCCATGGAACAGTTGTAGAAAACATTTTTGTGGGAACTAAAAGCAGATACTGAAGGAGCCAGATGGCCTGCATATCAAGTGGTATATGTACGTAAAGTATTAACAGATAAACAAAATTACAGTTTTCAAAATAGTGAGCCTGTACTGTTGTATAGATGTACTGTAGGTCTTTGTCTCTTGTAAATGCATTTACATGTACATGCGCTCACGTGAGTGCATTTATTCATTCAGTCGACGTTCCAAATAACAGTGATGTATCAAACCCGCAGTGTTTGCGCAGCTTTAGACACGATCTCCGGCACCCTGTGCAGTAACCTCATTTCCATCACCACAACACTAAAGGGTAATACCAGCATCCAACACTGACACCAGGGATGGTACGATACATGACTCACCTGTGCACATCCCTGAAGAAAGATAGACAAAATCAGTGATGATGATAATGAGAAGGTTGGAGTGATGCGCTGTGCCTCTCCCTCCCCCATCAATTTTTTTTAGGGAATGATTTGTTGGCGGGTGTTGGATCTAAACAGCAAAGAAGTGGCTGGCTCTACCAAGTATTGAAAAATATTCACGGATTGCTAGCTGGAGATAAACTCTTTGTGAGTGGTTTCTTGGCTTCCTCAGGCCAGAATGGGAAAGGTTTTCTAAAATATTTTGATGGACAAGTATCCCTGTGATATAATGTACACAAATTATGACTGATTTCCCTGCATAGTTGGAGTTGAGATGGGTACTGTTGGAAATACTAATGTTTGAATCACCCATATCATTCCCCCCCCCCAAAAAAAAGGAAAAGTGCTGAATGTGGGTTACAAGAAGGTTTGAATCACTTGACATATACCCATGTCAAGGTTGACTGTGAAATCTTGAGGGGACTAAAAAATCAGTGAAGCTAGTCTAATGGACTGACAGACAAGTGGGCACACTTAGTAAATTGAAAAATTTAATGCATACAGATTGAATGAAAATTGTAAACGAAGAAGCAGAAAATAAACTAGATAATAGGAATTGATCACCTGAAAGGCTTTCTGATGTACAGTGTGCATCAAGTTAATCTTCTCTCAATAACTCTGCATATACATGTAGATCAATATATACAGGTACATGTATGTACATGTACAATGTACACGAGGTGTCCATGTACACACTGTTTTGTGTATTTTGGCAGAATCCCTCCAGAATTATATGATATAGTAATTTGTGTGGAATACACGAGATGTTCAGCAGTTCAGATGAGGATAACAGGAAGGTTCAAATGAGGTGCACAGGTCGATGGAAGCAAATTGGTTCATATTGAGTGGGCCCAATGTGTCTGCTGGGACTTTCAGCCAGTGGGTTGTGATTGGATGTCCCAGGCATCAAGATTTGACCAGCCCCCCAAAATCTTGAAGGCAATCAAGCAAGCATTTTGACGTCTGCATTGCCCAGTTACCCACGATGCCTTGGGGAGAAGTAGGAAGGAGCACTGCCAGCGGGAAGCAAGCTGAGTAGAATGCCAATGTGGGGCTTTCGCTCATGGTTCAGCCAAAGTTCAAAATGAGCATTTCACGGCTGAGAAGAGCTCAGAACACTTCAGCTGACAAAAAAATGTTTGGACTTCAAAAACATCTGGGGGCAGGAATACAGAAAATACTGTCCAATTTGCCTTTATCTCTCATGAGATGGATAAATGATTTTAAAAAACTGTCACTTGAGATGTGACAGTCAACAGTTGTGGTATGATGAGAACTGGAAATATTCGGCAGGGGAAAAAAATCACTGTCTTCTATCGTCAAAAGCTTTAGGCTCAATTATCAGCCGAAGGATTTAATGTTTTTCTTTATAAGGAAGGGTTTTGCTGAGCAAAATTAGACATTAACTACTCCGAGTCAGGGGCATTTATCAATGTTGATTCTGCTGGGCTGGAGTATTTTTCATTTTTTTCTGTTTTCAGAATTCTCGAGAAATTCATATCTTCATTTACTGGACACTTAAACCCACATGAATGACTGTCTGGTTCTGTTTTAATCTGAAAGACAACATCTATTGATGCCGGAGTATTTCAGCCAGGCCTGCCGCCTTGTAAAAAAAGCCCAGAGTGTGCAGTGTTACGTAATTTTCTTTTGTTCCTGAAACTGGTGGTAATCCACTGGCACTGAATGCCACAAACAGTGGTACACTGTCCCAAAAAATGCTGGATTATCTCTGTCACTGACAGTGAAAAAGTGTCAGTAATTCCCAGCAGCCTGGTCTTTTGTTACGAGTACGGTCTTTTGTTACAAGGCCCTGTTCCCTTTGTCCGATTTCGGACACCAAGGATGTGCATATGAAGAAAACCGGGCTCCCCAGCAGCAAGTGGTTAATATTTTGAGTATCCAGGCTGTTTGAAAGGTAAACCTCAAAGTTCTTAAGAATCCATGCTCTTTTGTGAGTTGCAGGAATTTATTATGAGTTTCTCAAACAAAGAAATGTTAACATTATTTGTTTCTTCCCGTTGAACAGCTTGTTGGAGGTGAGTTTGACCTGGAGTCCAACTATGTCATTGCAGAACCGGAGAATGTCACCCATCTCCTGGAGCTGATTGACCACTGTGATGAGAAATTGCAGGTGAGAAAATGCCTTCCTTACCTTGCCTCAACCTTGCCTCAACCTTGCCTCTTGCCTTAACCTTGCCATTTTTTCTCCCCCCCCTTCTCCCCTCCCTCCCTTGTTACTCCTTTGAGAAGCACCATACTCAATCTGTTCAGGAGATAACAAGCAATCCCAGTGTTATCGTCGTTACACATTTTGATAACTCCAGCTACATGTTAACATTCACATGTAGCAGTCACCAGTCACTTATGCTTATCCTAGATCGTTTTGTATCATCAACAAAATTTACAGTCCTTGAAGTTCTGACTCACTTCCACAGAAAATTATTGTTCATTCAGTGTTGAAACAAATGTGAATCTGGAATTGTCTTTGTATTGTGCATGGACCCCATGCAGTTTGTCACATCCACCATTGCTCTCATCTGTATTTAGGCAAGTTTCACAGCAAGGCATCAGTAGAATGTAAATGTACTTGCAATAAACAGAATCTTGGCAACAATAACTGCATTGTACGACAGTATCTGTGCAATTCAGGGTCTGTTATAGTCCATTAAATGTTGCCTTCATGTAGCTTCTGTTGCAATGGTTTTTAATGGCTATGATGGTCTAGAGTATATTGTTCCTTGATGAAGTGACACAGCATCTTCAGTATTTTGAGTGTTAATATTGGGGGGGGGCTATAAACAGGAAATTACAAAGGTGTATGATACAAACAGCATCTTATTCAGGGAACATGAAAAATATTAAAACTCACAATGAGCCCAAGTACTGCATAAATGTCAGAAAATCGAAAGGGAGAAAATCAAGTTGCAAGTGGAAAATGCAATCCCACAGATTTCCTGAAATCTTAGGTTTTGATCAGTGTCTTGAAAATAAGCTTACCATACCGAGGTCTCTGTGCATACTCTACATGTATATACATTTGCACTTCGTTAAGTGATCAAAAACGTTCATTAATGGGATTGTTCACTTTAGGACTATGTACATGTACGCAGGTGTCTGTTAAACCAACACAATGGCACATTGTACGGTATGCCTGGTTACTTCCTGGAGTTGATCATCTGTTGCAGGCCGTAATCACTTCTTAATTATTATCATTGATGCAACTGTGTTTGTGATCATTAATATCCACAATACAGTTAAATTAATTTACTATACCCGACATGTGATTACTAAGAAACTGAAAATATAGACATATATTTATTTTTGTCGCAATATGATTACAGTACGTGTATACGTTGAGTGTTTTTCACTTTAGCAAACTGCATATTTTCAGTGCAGTAATTTTCTATAACAATTGAAAATATGAATTGGAAACTTACTTAATTTTGCAACTGCAGCAAGATCAAACAAATCCATTAGAACTTTGTACTTCTTGGTTAGGCCATGTACTAGTACATGTACATGTATCAGTGAAGAACATAAATTATCAAATACATCAATAAGATGGCTAGAAGTTTTCTTTACAAGGATATGCTCTTGTAAGTTACTGTATTTCTATGTATATATTACATAGTTCTTTATGCCAAGAGCTTTCTGTACACCAATTTCCTCATAGTGAAAAAGAACATTTCACACTTTTGCTCATGTACAGTATAGGATTTTAACCCTGCCGTTGATTTCCATTCATGTACATATGTACCTCTGCAAATGGACCCCACCACAGGTTGATGGTTGTACATAGATGATTCTTGGTTCAAATCCAGCTCAAGTAAGCGGGTGAAATTTCTGCGACTGGTTTTCAGAAAGCACTCCTGAAAACACTGTTGAATTACATGTACGTGTAAATAATCACCCCTACATGTATGTCTTTTTGTGTTCATACATGTATTGTGAACCATCTTCCAGGCTGAGATATGGAGTATGTTTGTAGCCATCTTGAGAAAGAGTCTACTCAACCTGCAAGCGTGCACAGAAGTCAGTCTGATCACCAAGTTGGTCAACAAGCTACAATCATGCAACGAAATGCTCTCAGGTAAGCAACATGTACATCATTTGTGCTGAAATACAGTACACTGAGTTTCTCAGAACTTGCTGCTTATCACTGCATGAATTTGCTATAGAGATGATGTTTTTCATTAAAAGTACACTCCATCATTTTTCATTTGTGCGTTATGTTCCTTTGAGGTAACAAAATCTCAAGACGGGAGGCCAGACAACTACATTAACCTTATGAAGTTCCAGCTCGGTGAATGCTATGTATTCTAAGAAAAGCATTCTAGGATCTTGATTTCAAATCAAAAAATTGCAGAGCCATGTTTTGAATAGCATCCCAATTCAGTGTCCGGGACACGTTTTCATTCAACCAAACGCAGCTATGCGATGTTGTGCACTGAACCGACAAATTAACCACGTGTGCGGGTATGTTGTGTCAGTATTTGTGCATGTTTCACCTAATTAGAAACAAACTACTGTTCGTAATTTCCACAAATTTGTCTTTAGAAAAGGGCATTTCATTGTTTTCTTCAAAATGACATCCTGTCAGAAGGAATAATTTCACCTAGAGTTGTAAGTGTACATTGATGTTATACACTGTATGTGTACTAAAGTTAATTTGCATACATACCGCATACATGTATGTACACTTTAATTTAATGCATGATATACAGAAATCTGTTCACCCTTTCCTTGTTGACTTGGCTACTGAACCCTTTCCCTTCATCCCCGGGAAGTATCATGATGTGTAGATGTGGGAATCATCATTTGAAGACCAGTGCTCAAGATAATTCTTTCCGTTGGGTGTTAGTTTTTTCCTGATAGCCCCACTGTGTCATCCCAGGTGGTGAATTTGGTCCCTGTCATGCTGTGAAGATGACACAGGTGTAATATTCATTGCGCTGATAAACTCCGAGAGCCCAATCTGGGAGAGTTAGCGGAGAGTCACAGGGGATGTCTTTAGGCCAGTGTCTGTGCGAACCAACTGCATTAATCCAAGGGGCTTTCAGTTTTCAGCAATTTTCCACAGTGCTACATTATAGGTAGTGTTTACAGATTCAAATGTTTGCAGATGGAAAGACCAAATTTATGACTTGTCCACATTAAAGCGGTACAGATTATGGTATCAGAAATTGTCTACTTACATGTATGTACATGCACATCATGCACATGTATGAGCTTTAGGAATGAGAGAAAATAATGAGTGGTTTCTGTCTGACACAAATGTGCACGTTGTGTTTTTGGAAAGCTTGCATACGTACCAATAGGTGTACACGTCTACATGTACCCCCAAATGCAGTTGAATATGTGTATGCTATTAATGCAGTTAAAGATGACTAAATACCTAAAGGACTTGGCACTCCCAGTGATTTTAAGTCTTTCATTTTTAAAGAAACTTGCACACATGTACAAACTCTAATCACTTAGTATCAAAAAATATTCTTTTAATTGTTTTGTATAGAATATCATTATCTAAGGACTGAGTTTTGTTTAATGTGTTGTAGCAAGTAAACAGTGCTAATAACAACTTTGAGTTTGACAAGAAAAAAGGTCCATCATAAATAACTTGTTTCTTATTGCATATTATGTTGTTTGGCTGAATATCTTGAGGAATTGTATCCACTGTGACAACAAAGGTTGTCTGGCAATTTAGTTTATTATTTACATCTGCCTTTCATCGACACTGACCTTGTGTTTTCATTGACAGCAAAACCTTTCAGCTCCCAATCCATCTCAGGTTGTATTGTTATTCGTTTTCCTCTTCCCTGCGTTGGCAGATCTGCTGATGGAGATTCTTGGAGTTGTTGCCAGCTACAGCATCTCGGTCAAGGAGCTCAAACTCATCTTCAGCTTCTTGAAGGGAGACAATGGACAGTGGGTAAGATAGCAGAGAATGCTTTCTGGGTAAATAGTGATGGTGGGGATGGAGAATTTCTCACTGTGGATGCAATACGAATTCAAGGTTTTGAGATTCAAGATCTCGTCTTTGTGTTGTGCATGGAAGAAGGATACAATTTGTTCAGCAGATGTTAACTGAAGGCCAGGACTGTGTTCGATCACTTAAACATTGCCAGCCGTCTCACAGAACTGGATGTGCATTAACCAGATTGGCAGTGATCCTGAAGTGGAACACAGCCCTGACCTTAGTGAACAAGGACAGCCAGAAGCTGTCAAGATGCTGCAGTTCCCTCTGTTGCCACATGCTCAGACTTGCCTTCTCTTCTTGTTCTCTGATTGTCCTAGCTCACACTTTCAGCACAAGAAGATTTCTTGAGAAATCAACAGAACCTTGACATGCTGAAGAGTTCTGAAGCAAAAAAGGACCGGAGAAAGAAAACAATTCAATCCAAATCTGTGCTGTCCTATTTTACTGTTGTCTTCTCAAGATAATCCCAGCACCAATGCTGACAAAAACCTAAAGCAAGCCTGCCACAGGACATGCTTCTTACATAATGCGAATCGGAAGTGACAGTGTTCTGACATTGCTATTTTTTGTGGGGGGGGGGGGAGAAGGGCCGTGTATGCAGAAGGCCCTATGCAAAGGCTAGTTATTTAACACATGAATGTGGTCACCCATTTCCAAACACATACCATGAATGGCTCTAGCTAATATTGTGTATGAACTTGGCAGGACCTACTGCTCTGTGTGGCCCAGGTAACATGAAATTTATCTAAGCAGGTAGATGGTTGTGTGAGAAGAAACCCAGTCTGTGTGTGTTTGCTCAAATTTATAGGTAGCCCAGTCCAGTGCAGCAGTTATCCGCTTCCATTCTGTGACTGTGTCTGGACGGCAAACAGCCAGGCAATAAGTCTGTCAAATCATTCCTCATCATTGGAGTTTCTTTTTTCCCCCCTCTTTTTCTTCCTCCTTGTCCTAACTTCAATCACATCTTGCCCTAGCTGTCCCCCGTGTGACTTGCCTAGGCTCTTAGAGGCAGGTGCGTGCGTCTTCATGACACCGGTGCCCTGAAGGGCTGTCGGTACTCGGACTGTAGGGTGGTAGTATAAATGATCGTTTCATCTCTCCAGGTTTTTTTTTCTGTAGTTGGGAATCTGTCTAGGCTTTGTATGGTGCGTACGGGATCCTGCCTACTTTGAGTAATTGCACTGCATCGTGGGATGTCTTGGGGGAGGGGCCAGTCGAAGGGGAGATGGGGATATTCCGATCATTTTCAAATCTTAAGCGACTTTGGTTGGCTTTAGTTCTGCGGGCATTGCCAGCAAACACACCAAAAGCATATTGATCTTTAATGACTCTTTTTATGTGTTTAATTTAAAAAAGAAATGGCATTATTGCCCTGAGCTTTCCCAGTGTTATTATCTAAAAAAAGGTTGTGCGGTAAGAGAGATTTTGTAAGACCAATTTATTACTTCTATGTAGGGTGTAATGAATCACAGTTTTGGCACATGAATAGGCTACAGTGGCTAAACCGATTTTATAGGTAATTTGTAAGTAAAGTTTTTATAAAGTTAATTTTTTAATTGACTTTAGATTTTACTATATTGTCACACACTTTATTGGTATCTTCACTCGAGGCATTTTTCTTGTACTGTAATGGGCAGTGAAAAATGACCTTCTTGTTTCATATATAAAGTATGACAGTCTTAAGGTAGTTTAATTGTCATCTCTACATGTACATGTATCTTACACATCCCTGAACATTGGGAATTGAAATAAGAAAAATGTTTGTATTCATGCACACATTGTACTTCTGGTGTATTCACGGTTCATTTCTCCAAATAATTTACGCTAGACTTGTGAAATCAATTCTCCGACGTCTCAGGAAAAGTACAGTGTTCCCCTACAATAATCAGGACTAACCCACATACATGTTCATGTACATGTACACATATATGTATACAGGTACTGTGTAAACCGTCAGCATGGAAAGAAGCTACCCGCAGACTATGACATAAACTCATGGTCAAAGAGATCACTTAGCATTAATACTTTTCGTGTATTATGTTTGTCACTAACAAGTGACCACAATGTACAGGTTTGCTTCAGATTGTTAGATTTGTCCACATCGTAAGCGCATGACACAAAGTCAATGAAAAGACACCTCCACATGAAGGTTCCTGAATGGCTGATGGCCTGGCCCCAGCTGGCAGTAATGGCAAAATGATCAGCCGAGTATTTATATCCTGAGCTGTAGAACTCAGAACCCCCAGCTGCCGACATCTATTCATCTTGACCCAACAGTGCTGTGGAAATCGATTGATAGCGGATATTTGAAGATGTGCCAAGCATCACTCACTTCTAAAGAGAAGAAAAATAAAACAGTCTCAGCGGCTTTGCAGTGGAGCAAGAGATTGTGCTTGCAGATATTTTTCAAGGGTAGCTCCACCTACCCTGAAAGATGACTGTATAATATAATTCTCCATATTGTAGGCAACATGTACTTGTCATTTTTCACCCTGCGAAAGACAAGGAGCAAACCCAACCTCTTTCAGAAAATTTACCCGGTTGTGGCATGAAGTACATGTATATATACATGTATTATGCTTTCTCCCAAAACACTACAAATAAAATCACTTTTCCTTTTTCCTTTTTATACATGCACATGTACCTGAACATGTATCTGCAGCTTATCTCTATTCCCATTGTCTGTTTGTGCTCACGAATCTCCTGAAATTTGATTGTCGATTCTTATCTCTACATCTTTCAGCCAGAATTCAAAGCATTATTTGTTATTTTTTCCTCCGCTTCTGTTCCTAGCCGCAGTACTCTGTCAAACTCCTGCAAGTCCTGAAGCAGATCCCTCGGAAACATGGCCCAGACGTGTTCTTCAGCTTCTCGGGAAAGAATGGAGCGGTGAGTATAAACCCACACAAACCAGCCATCCGTTAAAAGGACCCTCCGTCTTGTGCAAGACTTTAGTAGCGTTGTTATTTTTACATCGTACTAATAGAAGGGATCCGTTACAGTCCTAACGGACCGTTATGTCCTTCTACAGTGTATGTTTGTAATACATGTCTTCCCAGAATATCCATGAATATTTAAATGTTAACAGAGCCAGCAGTGCGTGCTTATCAATTGAACCCTTTTAATTGTTCTCAGTTTGTGAACGATGAGGTGTACTGATACAGACTGAAACTCTTAACTTTATGACCTTCTCAAACATATTATCAGTCTTTTCTTTTAATAATAATTGGAATTTAAAGATACTGTACTTCATCAAGCAGATGGCACTGCTTACAAATTATCAACAAATTAAAAATATGTAAGTACCTAATGATCACAAACCCTGGAGTAAATTAATGTTGAAATAGATATGTCTTATTGAACTGCTCAAGGGATTTTGCATTTTGGATGAAGACTGTGTAGACTGTTCCACTCCTGTGCCGCCGAGTCTGTGAACATTCTGTCACCAGTTTTGTCTTGAATACTTGGAAAGGTCAAACAAAAGGGTTATTTGCACAGAGAACAGGCATTCAGACTTGTACATGTACATCGAGCGAAAATTAAATCAAACTTTTTTTACTGTTTGTGAAAGGTAATTGTTAATGTGTCGATGATTGTCATGTAGGGTGTGAGTACAATGACCACTTGTTAATTTTTACCCAAATTCTTTGCTCGCTTCATAATGTCTTCAGTGCATGGTCATTCATGAAATGGATTGATTAACCTACATGTACTATTGAGAATGTTACATTTAGGCCAGTGTCCTGGTTTTTTTCCTGTTAGCTCAGCACACACATAGTGAGCTCAGTATTGCCATAAAATCGACCCCCACATTTTGCCAAACATTTAACCGTCTTCAATCATCTCCTGAACCTTGCGTGGGAGGGGCGATTCTTGCTTGTTTAAACACTCTTGTTATGGTCAAAGTGCCTCCTTGACATTCGCTCTTTGAATGAAATAATGGGGCCTTGTGACAAGATTGAAACCCAGATTTTCATGAGAGTAAAAGTACAGGAAAAATCTACATCTCTGCAGCTTTCACCGTCGTACACTTTGAAAATTATGCTTCACAAGGAATGAAGAAAGTTGTTCAAATGCCTTCAGTTTCATATAAAAGATCTGCGCACTATACTTGTTTCTTGTCAGTGTGCCTCGTATTGACACAGAGTCAAGGATAGCACTGATGAGCTCTTGGCAGTATTTGCTCAGTGCTGCAATTAACATTTGACAGTATTTTGCAGTTTATGAAAACAGTTTTTCAGTGTTGAAACTGCTCTTGATGAGAAGCACTTAGCTCATGGGGATATGCCTTGTAAGATAATTAGATATCCTGTATGTTAAGAGTGGGAATACTATTTTTACATAGTATCTATAGAACCAAGCTGTATGTACATGTATAGTATAGTTGATGTTCTCATGCAGTGGCTTGACAAGCACTCAGTAAGACCACACTTTGGTATAGTACATGTACATGTTGCAAAGTCAACTTTTTCAGTACACGACATGGAAATTTTTATGGCCTGCATGCATTAATTGAAATGGAAAATTATAGTTTAGTTTTGGCATTTAGTTTCAATTTTAATAACACTAAATTTGGGGTATAATTACGGAATCCAATCATGCCTACGGATATTGGGAATGTTATATCCATCTGCAGCTGATCTAGTACATGAAGACGACACACTATGCTGATCCTTGCCTTCAGAAGGTCTTCCCAGCCAGAGGTCTTATCACACAGCACTATCAGCAGAGTATAACAACTCTTCGCCTCCATCATCTACAAGGATTTGCACACTCTAGGACATGTACATTTACAAAAAAACATCATCATTTAAAATCAAGCATAATGGCTTGATAATCCCAGCAGCATCTGAGCTGTCACAAGAAAAAAAAACAAAAAAAAAATAGATGAAGTAGGAGATATAAGTTCTCAATTCCAGGAAAATCTCATAATAGGATTTCCCCAGTCATAAATTGCTGGCAGTTTTAATTGACTACTTTTTTGTGGGGGGACGGAAGCAGTTTAAAAGATGTAGATGTACCCGGTACGTGTAAGATGATCCCTGTGTGTTCAGAGAGAGATAATTGATCACTTATTGCTCCAGGAAATGTATTAACGTCATATAGGCCTATGTTGCTGTTACTCATGTTGAGAAATGAAAGAATTTTGGCTTTAGACATAACTATTCTGGAGTCTAAATTTAGTTATTTCTAAAATAGTGTTGGTACTGAAACTAAATGTTAATGTAACGAATGTTTGGGATAGGCGAAGGCCATTTCATGATCGTTTGTCTCTCTCCATCAATCAAATTTTCTGATGGAAATTCTGATCTACAGTACATATATGTTGCACGCTGTGTTTATGGTGCCATATGGAGTAGCTAGAGAAATTGGTCATAAAAAGCTGGCAAGAGGATGAGGAAATTGTCAGTGAGGAAAGGAACCTTTTGTAAGATTGGTATGTTCCACCTGTGAAAATGCTGATGAAAGGCAGAACACTCCCCCCTCAAGCAGCCATGGATGTTACTAAGGTCGCGGGACATTCTAGGATTTCGCACAGAAAAAAATATTAGCGTTGTGCCTTTGTTTGTTAGAAATTCTCTCAGAATAAGGTCCGCTGAAGTGTAATGTCAAAATTAGATTATGTCGCAGATGTAGTAGTTTTGCTCAGAAAATGCTGCAGCGGATGTAGGTGTGTGATAGTCATGCATCCAACACATTACCAGTCACAGTATGCACATTTCTCATTTCTCTACAAGTACGTGTACATGTACATTGGAATACAAAGCAAGAAGGCAGCATCATACACACCACACAACAAAACCATGAGCAATAATGTTACAACAGGTTGGTCATATCAGCTATGATTTTTTTTTTTTGAGGCACTCCCTCATAATTGATCTTCCATTAGACAAAATTCTTGATCTCCTCATGGAAAGGGGCTAAATAACAGCACTGCTTTGCAGGAAACATCAGCCAGGCTCTCCATTTCGTCAGGTGTCAAACGCCCAGGCTGTTGATAGTTTCACCAAAGGTCACCCCATCGATTCACTCCTTGGTTTCAGACAATACCCTCTGCTCATTGTGATCTGTGAGTTACAAAGCAGCCACATCATTGGCAAAGTGCAAGGGTATCATGAGTCGGAGGGTAGTCAGTTGATACGTAACCCCTAGGCCAAGAGAAGAAAAAATGAAGGAAAAGTCTGCTTCCGATCCCAGTGGCAACATGGAATGTTTTTCCCTGTTGAGTGCATGTATCCGCTATGTATAATTTAATTCGTTTCGTGGCTGAGATGAGATGGAATGTAATTGAATTTGGCTAGCCATTGTAATGATTAGGTCGGGAGATCCTTGTGAAATATGATTAAGATGCGAAAAAGTCCCACTGCTGCACCTGGCAGTTTTGCCAGCAGGAGGTTGGAAGAAACTCCTGAAAAATTTGAAGCCAGGGTGTCCTTGTACTGTGCCTATAGCCAGTCTGTCCAGAATAGCTCATTTGTTATCTGCAGCAACATGTCCCAAGAGTTCTTGCTGGGCAGTGTATACATGAAAATTCAGTGAAGTGAAACTGAAGCAATGAACTCTGTACTCTGGGTTATTCATTATGGCTTGGAGTTAGGAATTCAATTCATTTTCATTTTTTTTTCTTTTCTTTTGTCCGTTTTTGGTGAATTTGGCTGTATAATCTCTGTGACAGTCAAATTTGAAATGCGGCTTGTATTTTAATTTACTTGCTTAAAAAATTATTACAAAGGTAAATGGTTCTGAGACCATTATTGGTGCATGCATACAGATGTATCTTTTTGCAACAGCTTTCTTGAGAAGCAAGACAAATTTAACAGTTTGTGCTGCAGAATTGCTACTGTAAGAGAGAAGTCTACCTGTACTTCACTCAGTAATTCATGTGAAAAGTTACATGTACCTTTGTGAATGACAGATATACATGATATGTGGTGATGGTTGAATGTACACAGTTGTCCTTGTGTATGGACATGTACATGTATGCAGTAGATTGTCAGATTCGTAAAGTTATTAAGTGTTGTCTTTACAACCTGCCTGCATCCTTGCCATACCAAAACTAAAATTGTGTTTATATAGTGCAGGCATTGATTGATTGAGCCCAGTTTCAGCACGTTTATTTTCTTGAAAATTTTCTCCTTTTAATCCATGGCTCCTTGGCTGATGATTTATCCATTCTCCAGGAATACATGTACATGTAGTGTTTGTAGTCCAAGCCATTGAGAGTAAGTTGCAGTCAGCACTCAACTCCGTGTACATACTGTTCTGCCATTGGTTTTGTGCAAGTAGCATTTTGCAGCCAAGCACTAATTATGAATTTTTTTGTGCTTTTTTTCCTCTCCTCAGGCAATTGCAATGCCTCCCATGGCAAGATGGCCATACCAGAATGGATTTACGTTTACCACGTGGTTCCGTCTGGATCCTGTCAACCCATCCATTGAGAAAGACAAGCCATATCTCTACTGGTAAGAATTATTTCAAGTTCTTTTCTTCTGTGCCTCTAAATATTTTTCTCACTTAAGGAAATTGCATCCCTATTCATGACAAGCCAGAAAATTAAACATCAGGTATCCCAATCTCCTAATCGTAATATTCTCACAACATCAATTGATTGAAAATTTGAATGGGAAATTTCTTTATTTCTTCAAAATTATTGAATGATCAACTTGATTCTCTGGGTGTTTCATTTCATTACTATCTTGAAATCAAGCTCTAAGTATTTTTTTATTCCTTCATGCTGTAAGGTACAAATGTACTATACTAATATCTCTACTGTGCTATTGCACTCGCAAGTTTTCTCTGTAAGTGGAAAATTGAAAACAGACGTGCTCACATCATATCTTGGGTCTAGTGCCGTCTGTTGCACCTTCATGCTTGGAGGAGCATGTCATGTGTCCTACAGGTGGGCTGTCATTTGTGATTAATGCGTTACGGCGGATGGCAATTTTGCATCCCATGCAGGCACATTGCAGGCATTTCAAGGGCTGGGGAAATTAAAATCTTCATGCCATAACAAGAAAAGGAAAAATAAATTGTAGTCATTCACACATTAATCATGCAAAGTATGTGCACATCTGCATTTTATACAGTAGAAGTGTGTTCTTCATTGCTGTTTAATTTGCCATCGAGATGTTGCTATGCAGATGTACATGTAAGTATCTGTGTGTATATGTACATGTAAGTGTGGTCTATATGTACATGTATGCACACATGAAGGTGGATTTTGAAGTCAATATTTTTATGCAGATTGAACGTTTGAAAAATACATGTACTTCATAGCTGAATTTATTACATGTACATTGTACATGTCACCTTAACCTTGTTAAAAAAGCGTTCTACATGTAAATGGTTACTTGAAACAACACTTGCCTTGGATTTTTTTTTGTCTTTGTGAGGAGTAAGCCCCAATCAGACAGGCTTATTTCAGCTTGTCTGTAATAACGCTGAACTGGTGTCTTTCCCTTTCATAAGCCTTAGCCCGTAGACTTGCAGATTCTGATTAGCTAGTGGGATGAGGTTTAATCTTGAGTCAGTGTGCTCGCAGTTGTAATCGCTTTGGATCTGTGATAATCAGGAATAAAAATACTTGAGCAGTTTTCCTCAGGGATTGATGGAAATATCATGATTTTTTTTCTTGTTTGTTTTTTGGCCATGTTGGAATTATAGAGAGTTTCATAACAGTTTTGTGTTCATCTACAGCCAAGTGCATTATTTCATCCACGTGTACATATACCGTGGTCGTAATTTTTTCTCTAATCTGATTCTTGCTTGATTATGAATGTGCATCATACAAGTGGTGTGCGGCAGTCACTTGCAACTAATTGGGTCAAACATACAGGCCTTAAAGGGCCTGTGTGGTCCTGTTTTTCCCATTGATAGAGCCATTCTTGACGTGAAATCTCTTGTGTTCATTCGTCCCCTGCGCTTTAAATAAATGTTGGGTCTATGAAATGGCTGCAAAAGTCTGAATTTTTTCAAGTATTTTACTGTGTGTTAATTACAGGCATTAAGAAATTAATGTCTGAATTTTTAATCTGTACAGCTGCACACAGTTTGTTCATGCACCTACATGTACATATAGTTTGCCTTAATTAACTAATGCTAGCATAAAGCCAGTGTGATAGGTGAAGCATACAACACCAAGGGTATGTGTCATCTTGTATACAATTTTCAATCAGCCGTCCATTAACCTTGACCGAGCAAAGATTTAATTTTCCGCCATGTAGCTACGAGTACGAACATACATGTAGCATGCTGTGCGCTGTTTGTCACTGCACTAAACACTGTATTATGATGAACATGTACGTACATGTAAAGTTTTGTATCATGTACTTGCATTGCGTGGTTGCTCTTTTACCAAATATTTATACTCGGGTGTAATACAGGGAGTGAGAGAGCATAATTTATTGGGAAAGGACAATTGCTTTTTCTACCTTAAAAATGTACATGTAGAAATCTTTGTGTTATTCTGCGCAATTTGTCAGATGAAAAATTTGCAATTTGATGACTTATTGATGTGAGACGGGCCATCCACACGTAACTCAATATTCACTTGAAATTACAGTTCCTGTCAACATGCAGAGCTCACATGTACAATTCATCATTTACCATACCAGTAGATACATGTATGAAATAATGAACCTGAAGATCTTTTGTAGACATTCGTTTGTTCATGTGCCGATTCTGAAAGAAAATTGTGCAGATTATACCTGTACATGTTTATCATTGTTATGAAGTACCTGCATTCGTACATGGATATTTAGCTTAAACAGTTTTAAAACTGACACTGGTTTGAACATGTAAATGTAGTTGAATTAAGCCTGTACATACCTGTACATATCAGTAGTACTCCTCTAACTTGAATATTTACCTTAATTTAAATAATGTAGCGGGGATTCACATCCAAGTGACTCATTTCTTCGCATCAGTAGTTTGATAATCAAAATCATACAATCTCAGGTTTTTCTTGTGACTATCTTCATTATAGGCAAGGATATCGCTACATGTAAATCATGAAATCTTTGAATTTCTGTTTGCTGTTCTATCATTATATATAGCTTGAGTTCAAATTTGATAACTGTCGTACATGTACATTGCATTTTTTTCATGAGCATGGTTTAATGTTGAATGTTTGTTTTGGGAACAAGTTAAGTTACCTTCATTTAACGTAAATCTCTTTTCATTATGATGGGGCTCTTCACAAAATTGGATGAACCTGCATGTGTAAGGTTGTTCCCTAGCATATTTACAGGCTGAATCATGGAAAAAATTAGTGATGTGAAACTCGACCTCTACAGTACATGTAGTTGTGATAATACATGTAGTTGTTGTCTGTGCATCATTGAACTCCTTGTATCCTAGGGTTCATGTACATGCATTGGGATCAATGAACTTTATTTTTTGAATCAATCACATTAATAAATACTCGACATTTTAGGTTACCTGATTCATGAACTTAATTTTTGGATACATGAACATTAACGTACAGGATGGAAAGAAGCATGTATCACATGCATATTGATTTTCACCCTCATGTACACGTAAGCACAGCCAAGATACCAGGAGAATCACTTTATCATAATCTTCCACTCCAGAATCCTGAACTGCAGATTGAAATAATGAGTCATAATATAGTATAATGTCATTGATATTCTTGGATATATGTACGAGTAATTTCCTTACCTAGTCTTTGGCATTATTGAAGGGAGCTTTTGTACATGTACATCACATGTATCATGTAATGAGGCTGTGATGCCAATACTTTTTGCACCGTCCATTCCAGCATATTTTATTTTCTGTAGCTTCCAATGTTCAGTAGAAATAATATATAACACAGTTTTCATTATCTAATTGAAATTCCCTAGAAGATCTTTGTGAAATTAATTACATTTTTAATTAAATTTGATTACACATACTACACAACATTAGGTACTTGTAGCTATAAAATCACAATGGGATTTTGATTTAAAAACCAATTTCTTTCAGTCTTTTCGTTTCTCCCACAAGAAGGTTAAATCTCAGTGACATGCAGCATTTGACATAAGTTCTGAAAGCAGAGAATGTCTGGGATATTTATATTAACAGAATATCTATTGAAGATACATGTAACATCTGCTAAAATTGATGCATTAAATGTTCTGTTAGCTTTGTTATAATGACTGTGTGTAAGTTTTCTTAATTCATGTGTTTCTTGTCTAGTTACTCCCCTGTTAACTTTTTTCTGGTTCAGTTTCCGGACAAGCAAAGGTATCGGGTACTCTGGCCATTTCATGGGGTCTTGTCTGGTCATCACAGCTGTCAAGATCAAGGGCAAAGGGTTCCAACACTGCATCAAGCATGACTTTCAACCAAGGAAGGTGAGATCATACTCAAACTAGGGAGGCGCCTCTGACCTCTTGAACTATTGAGGCTGCTCCTTGGTCTGCTGATGATTAGAAAACTTAGGCACATGAATGTGGTATACGCTTTTTGGGTTCTTTGATACTTTATGTCCACAAGCAGGATACTTTACTAAAATTGCTTTTGCTATTTACATGTACTGGTATAACAGAACAACATTGATAGCAGATTTCATCATTCCGTGAATAATTGTGATAATTGATGCTTTCTTTGGTGTTGAAGGTGTGATTAACCATTTTGAATATTGCATTTAGAAAAAGTGGAAATAATTCATTGTTGGTAGAGTTAAATATATGTATATTTATAAACACTCATAGCAACCTTATGTGTAAGTAGATGTAAATAGAGTAAGAATATGTACCAAAACTCATATTTTTTGTCACGCCCATGGAATGCTTCTTGGACCATTTGCTTCAGTCAAAAACACCCTGTACATGTTATGTCTGTTTGGTACACCTGTCATAAAATGGCATCATTAGTCAACTCAGTAGAGATCTTTTATCAGGCAGCCATCTTTTCTGATTCCCTGAAGGCTGATTGTATCTTAGCTCTAACTTCTAAAACTAATCAAGTAATATCTTGCACTTTATAATTCCACAAATTATGTGTTCTTGTTTAGTTATTTGATCTTACAAGCTAGCAGTAAACAGTAAGTCATCAGTAATAATCACATTTTTGTTTTACCGTAATCATTTCAGTGGAACATGGTGACAGTGGTGCATGTGTACAACCGATGGAGGACCAGTGAAATCCGTTGCTATGTCAACGGTGAGCTGGTGTCTGCTGGGGAGATGCAGTGGCACGTGGCAGCTAGTGATGTGAGTAGAGTACGGCTAACAAGTCAACAAGAATGCTCCTATAAATAGCTGGCTAGAGTTCTCTAACCTTCTGCACTCTTTGCATATTTATTTTGTGCATAAAAATAGTGCTTGGAGTTGTAATGCCCTCATTTATATAAGGACAAATTTTCTTCTTTGTTTCATCAAACACAAGTGAACCCATCATTTTTATTGCTTCATTGTTGCTCACAGTATATACAGATCATATATTTTGCTCGATTTTCAAGTTAATATTACTGCCTCTGGAAAGCATGGAGCTATGTGAATCAGAATTTATTCTTTAAATTCAGTAAGGTCACAAACGCAAAATGGTTTTGGTTTAATTGAAGCATGTTCCCTCAAAGTCAAATCCGTACAAATTATAAATTGTTGTTGATCGCTGGTAATTGCTGAATGTGTCACTAGTACATCTTTCTGCATCATCCACTTGCTCTATGATGTGCAGCCCTTCGACAAGTGTTTCTTGGGGTCAGCCCCAACAGCAGACAGAGAGAGGACCTTCTGTGGTCAGATGTCCTCAGTCTATCTCTTCAGCGAGGCTCTCTCAGCCCACCAGGTGCATGCCATGTACCTCCTCGGACCAAACTACAGGGTAAGTACGCATTTCAATGTTTGACAATATTCACTGTAGTGCACACTTTTCCCTATGAGTACAGATCTAACTTAACTCACAAGCAGCCGATCAGAAGGCTAGATGAGCTGGTCTAATTCCAGCCACTCTTTGCCCTCTACCTATGTTGGAGCAAAGCTTTTGATCCTCAAGGCCAGTGCTTTTGCCCTTGGGCCTTAAGGTTTAGCAAGGCCCTAAAACCAAGCCTTAAGGCAGCCTTAAAGCCAAGGCTCAGCATCAACACACTACATTACTGGTCTCTAGAGAGTTCCATGAAACAAGTTTAATTGAGATCCAAAGGATATTTGGATCTCAATTAAACTTGGTTTAAAAAATATTTGGATATTTGGTAATATATTTGGATATTTATATCCCACCAATTAAATCTTGCAGAGCCATTTCAAGTTCCACTCAGAGAGTGATGTCAGCCTGTCGGAGCACTACAAGAAGATTCTCTATGATGGCAAGATGACCAACAGCATCGTGTTCCTGTACAGCCCGGCAGCCACCGAGTCCCAGCTCTGCTTAGATTCCTCCCCAAAGGGCAATGTTTCTTACTTTGTGCATTCTCCCCACGCCCTCATGGTCCAGGTGAGATGTCAGAATGATCCTGTTCAGGAAAGGGAGTAGTAGGGGAAGGGGAGGGGCAGTTGAAGGAAAAAGGATGTCAGGCTTGCTTTCAGGTTTGTCCACAGTCTTGCTTTTGGCTGGCAATAATATGCATGTCTATGGACGTGGATACAGTTACTAGCTGTTAGTTTCTGTCCGTGGATCTGTATTCATTGCTGTAGCCAGTGCTTTCAGACACAATCTAACATGGAGTTGCATAAAAACCAGCATCATTTCCTGATGGGCCAGCACCACTTGTTTCAGCTTAAAACAATAAGCAGAAACCTTTAGCATGCTTTAAAATATGCATACATGTACATTTTCAAGACTAAATGCCCTTTTTTTGTTTTAGTGTGAGGCATAAATTAAGTATTTAGAACAGTTATGGTTTTATTTGGTCATTTCTGTTCCAGGATGTTCGAGCCATTGTGACACATTCCATTCATAGCACCTTGCATTCAATTGGCGGCATCCACATGATATTCCCCCTCTTCACCCAGCTGGATTACATCCAACCAGCCACCGAGGAGGGTCAAGAAGACCAAATCAACCCTGACGTCTGGTAAGTGCCTCTGTTGTCATCTTGGCTAAGCTTAGCACAAGACTTGGTTCAGTTTCTGATAACCAGCTATGAGTTTTCACTGTACTACCAGCAGAATACTTATGCGTAACTGAGCTCAGTGTTTGACTGGTCTTTGTATGGTACATTTCAGCCCACTACTTCTACATCTACTGTGTGACCTGCTCAAAGGCTCTATGTCCACTCAACAGCAGATGGTGCAAGGCAGAGGTTTTGTCATCCTGGGATACCTCCTTCAAAAAGTGAGTCTTTTAATGCTGTTCATGATGTTCACCGATGTGGGAAAGTATTTGTTAAAACACCAAGTCCTTAAATGAAGGTAATTCGTCTGAAACAGTTCTGAATGTCTTGCAAGAGTAGGTGGACTTCAGGCAAGTTTTTTCTGACTCAAACTGTTCTCACATCTAAATGACAGGTCCACAACCTGCCAAGTTGGAAGTATTCTAACTCCTCAGCTGTATCAGGGAACCAAAATATTCATGGTGTGGGTATTCAGCAAACAATGTTCAAGTAATCCTGACTTGTAATCATCTCGCTCAACTGAATTCTCTTACTGTCTTGTTTTCCTCAGGCATCAATGAAGCACATGACAGAGACAGCTCTGGAGCTCTTTCTGGATCTTGCTAAGTATTACAACACCGTACCAGCTGGTATCCAGCTGCTGAGACACTTAGTGGACCACATTCTGTTCAATCCAGTGCTGTGGATCCACACGCCAGTCAAGGTGGGCTTCATTCATCTTAATTTGATGAAGATTGAAACAGACTCAAAATGAAGTCTAGCTATAATCTCTGCTTCTTGTAAGAGAAATATTCTGCCATTAAGTTACTGCAGACATTACCTTATTGCGCCCCTTCGGTCCAATTTGTCAGAGGGTTTATTGTATCTTGTTCAAGTTTTTGCATGGACGGGTAAACTTCTCTTTATTGGGAGTGCTGTGAACTTGAATGATTTTGGCCAGTGATGTTAAAACAACTTTAGCCCTATACATTGTATTCTTTTGTCGCATTGATTTCCCAAGATGTTTCCAAGAATTTTTTCTCTGTTCAACAGACCCAGATATCCCTCTACACATTCCTGTCAAATGAATTTGTTGGTCAGTCCACCATTTACACCAACATCCGTCGTGTCAGCACGGTCCTGCAACTCATGCACACCCTCAAGTATTACTATTGGATCGTAAACCCAGAGGATCGCAGCGGCATTGTACCCAAGGGGCTCGGTAAGTCACTAGCATTCCAGGGACTGAAGCCTGAAACCTCTTCCATTTTTGTGACAAAAGGGTTGACTTTTGTTATTCTCATCCCTTTGAATCTCTCTGAAAACTGGCATTTTCCATTGTTTCCTTTAATCTGATCCACTCGCATTTTGTTTCCAACAGATGGTCCCCGGCCCAGCACGGAAGACCTGCTGTCACTGAGGGCACTCATTCTGCGCATCACCAAGCAGCTGATTCTGAAGGAGAAATCGGCCAATGACGAGGAGCTGCAGATCATCCTCAACTATCTCATGACTATCCATGAGGTTGGTAGCTATGGCAACCTGAGGGATGCCATTTTAAGCTTGCTTGTCAAATTTTATTATTCTTAAGTGAGGAGGAAGTCATAATAGTCAAATTTATGAAACAGCTTGAAAAATACCAGATAAATAAGGACTTGAAAAGGTGTTACACTAAAAGCTGTGAAATTCTGGAGGAAACTGTTATTGATGGAAGTATGAATTTGTTGTTTTGTAATTTAGGATGTAAACCTGAAGGATGTTCTACAGTTGCTGCTGTCTCTCATGGCAGAAAACTCCAATGGGATGGCTGTAGCATTTGATAGGAAGAATGGCGTTAGGTAATGTCTCCAGGAATATTTAACAAACAGTCTAGTTATGAACATGTCCAACAACTTTATCCCCAGTAGTGAACTACCAGAAATGCCAACAAGTATCAGAACACAATCCAAACCTGAACTGATCACAGTAACCAAAATATATTTAAATAATGCAGAAAAATAAGTTCAAGAACAAAAGAAAAAAATGGTATCTTTTTTTATATTGGCAGGGTGATCTACAAGCTACTTGCCTCCAGTGATGAGATTGTGCGTGCCATGGCTGTCAAGGTTCTGGCCTTGTTTCTCAGCCGTCTCCCCCACAAGTAAATCAAACATGCAAGATTTTAAAGAATTGTTATGAAAGCAGAAAACCTGACACTGAAACTTAGTAGTAGTTGATACATACATGTCATGTAGGGCTTGGTCTGTACTCATTTCATTTCTGAACTTCTGTCTTCATATAATTCTGCATGTTTAAGACTTATTATTGCTTTTTTTAAAGGAGGAAGATGGATTTGATGTACGCTCACAACCTGTACTCACTGTTGGGTGAGCGACTGTTACTCACAAGCAACTCACTTTCGATGGTCATGTACAACTGCTTATTTGAGGTATGAAGGACAGTTGATGCAAAGATATGGGCAGTTTGATTGGATAACTGCTTTACTGACGAATGATGCCATCTTTGATTTTGCAAAAACATGTTTTTCTTCCTGTGTGTTGAACTTGAAACTTTCCTGAACTTTCTGTCTGGGAGACAACGTTAATGAGAATGATCTTGAATGTCACTTGCACAAAATTGCTTTTTATTCTGAGTGATTATTCTCTGCCCTTGATTGATCATTGATTAAAAAATCATTTGGTTCTTTTTTGCCTAGTTATTGACAGAGCACGTCAGCCTGCAAGTAGCCACAGGGAGCCACATCAAGCCAGACAAGACTTATAAGGTCACGAACCCAGGTAAATCTAAAAACTTTTGGATCTTGTTCTTGCCAACCCTCATTCTATTCCAACTAGCCGCTGCAAATTTAAGACTTAAATTAGATACTCCAAATGAAGTAATTATTCACTGTAGACTGCCAACTTCTCTGCAAATCTGGCCAAACTAGGTACAATTTTCAGTAGACTGCCAACTTCTCTGCAAATTTGGCCAAACTTGGTATAATTTTCCAAGGTTGAATGGCTTACAGGGCTTGTGTGGACTACCAATAATTTACTTTCTGGATTTATTCAAACCAACTTTTTGTGACGTCCTGACTTTCCTTTTGTTTCGCTACAGGTATTTTCCATGTGACCGCCCGCCTCCTACGCCAGTCAGCCCCCAGCGAGGCCACCATGGAAGTCAAGAAACTCTTCCTGTCGGACATGATTCTGCTCTTCAATCACAGCAGAGAAAACAGGAGGTCAGTCACTCATTGAAAAAAAGCATCACTGGTATGATATCCTCATAAGCAAGCTGAAACAGTTTACAAAAACTGTCTTGTTTGTGATTGTTTTCACATATGTTGTGTAGGCAGAACCTATGTGATGTAGTCAGAGGAGAGGATTTTCAAAGAAATCACAAGATGACGTTATTGAGTCCTTGATTCCTTTGAAAGACGATGTCTTAATGCCAGTATGGCTGAAGACAGTCTTCCTGAATCCTTGTGTAAGTTCTCAAGGTTTTTGGGGGGCCTTTTGCCTGGTTCAGGATTCTCCTGCAGTGTTCCGTCTGGCAGGACTGGATGATCAACCTGGCGTACATCTTTCCCAAGACGGAGGAGGAGAAGAAGGTGACCGAGATGGTCTATTCCTTGCTGCGCATGCTACTGCATCATGCCATGAAGTATGAGTGGGGAGGCTGGAGGGTCTGGGTGGATACACTGTCCATCATTCACTCCAAGGTGAGAAAAGAGAGGACAGGAATAGCACAAGAGAAGGGTGGTCAACTGGTTGGAGAGTGGACAGAGTGGATGGAAGCTTGAGTTTGTGTAGTTGTATCTTTGAGCAGGACTCTTTACAGCAATATTCATTTCACTTGGAAAGACACATTCATGCAACTGTTTCATCATAGAAGAAGAGAATGCCATTGAAGTCAGGTCTTATTATTGTTAAGGTTCAGATTTGGCCAAGGTAACCTAAATGGCACTTTGTTCTAATTTATGCTTTCTCCATGGATAGAGACTTTTAGGTTTGGGTCAGTGAGCCAGCGTAAATGTGATTGTGAAAATTCAGTACACAGTTAACAGTACCTTGGTAACTCTAGATGGTCACTGCTATCACAGGTCTCCTTTGAAGAGCACAAGCAAGAGCTCCTGAAGGCCTACAATCAGTACCAGAACTCGCAGGGAGCCAACGGGAGTGGGGCACCAGCCAGCATCTCGGCAGCCATCAATAAAGCTCAGCTGGAAAGCATGTATCCTGAGGACTCAGTTAGCCCACTGGCAGCCATGACAGGTGGCTACGGGGAACAGGCAGGGGAGGGTCACGTTGCAGGGGGAGCAGAGGACAAGGAAGAAAGGTAGGTGTTTGGGGTTATCCACTTTGGAACTGAGAAAAAACTCAATACTTGCCATGTGTCGTGTTGAAGGACGCAGGTTTTGAACTAATAAAAGTCACTGTGTAACACCTGGACCAATGTGTTTGATGATTGAAGGTAAAGAAGGCCTAAAACATTGACATAGAGCTGGTTTTGATGGAGTTACTTATTACAAATGTAAGACAAACAGAAGAATGGAGCATAGGCAGTGATTTTGAACTCTGTCTCCTTGTTGAAAATTTTGCCCTGAAGCAAACCTGCAACTGAACCTGAGCCAGAAGCTGCAGAGGACAAATACATTGTGAAAGAAGTCGTGGAAGACCTGATCAGTGACGTCATCAAGATTGTTGATGGGAAGAGCGCCCTCGAGGGACAAGAGGGAGAGAGGGATGAGGCTGACGGCAGTGAAGAGACGTCGCTAGATGCTGCGGCAACACCCAGCGAGGAGAAGTCACCGGAGGAGGAGTCCAACAAAGTGGGCTGAATTTAGTTTTGTGTTTGTGTTCAGAATGGTGTTCCTAGAGGTGTAATTTGGCAGGGAATTGTTGTGATGTGGACTTTGGTTTACATTGCATTTTTTGGGTAATTTGCGTTAACTTAGAGTCAAGACTCATAGAAGAACTTTGCAAGATATATGTACAGAATATGAAGTGAAGTGCACAATTGGATTCACATTTTAAAAAAGGCTGATGTATTATTAAGATGCAGCACAGTGAGCAGTTTTTTATCAAGATTATTCTTAACTGGCATCACTTTATATCCACATTTCAGGACATTTCAGACCAATCAGCCGTCAGCATCGCCAGCTCAGATTCCACAGCTACTAGCTCCACTGCCTCTCACCCTACCCCCCTTGCAGCCAGCCAGCTGCCCGGTGCCCAGGGAGGGGTTGCACCAGCAGCAGCAGCAGTGGTAGGAGCTGCGCCCCACCCCTCCACCGGACACCAGTGGTTACCTGCCGCCAAGCAACGACACCCAGACGAGGACCAGACCTCCTTGAGCAGGCAGGGCTCCAGGTTCTTCAGTCCTGGACCCCACCAGGCCCCCTACCGCATCCCAGAGTTCTCCTGGTCGGGGATGCACCAGCGCATGATGTCGGATCTGCTGTTTGCCATCGAGACAGATATTCAAGTGTGGCGGAGGTGAGTTTCATCAGATATGAGATATGATTTCTTACAAAAGGACTGGAACTGTGTCATGGCCAAGTGCATTGAATGGAAGTTGTTGCTTCAGGTTTTCTTTCAACAAAATATTCTGTCACTATTAAATTACCTTTACCTAGCAGTAAAAAGAAAACACAGTTTTTTATTATTGTTAAATCACCAATGTCATCTTTCATTCCTCTGCTTAACAATCTAGTTTTGCTCGTCGTTGAAAACCTGGAATTTTAATACTTGTGTATGTTTATTGTGTCATTTTACCAGTAACAACACCAGGACAGTGATAGACTACGTCAATGCGGCAGAGAACACCATCTTTGTTCAGAATGTGACCCAGATGGTGTCCCAGATTATGGACAACCTCATCTACTCAGCCGGTGGCATCCTGCCCATGCTTTCCTCAGCAACGTCAAGGAGTGTAAGGAAAAACATCACATCCCAATTCCTTCCAATTAATTTCAACTGAAACTGAAGCAAAGATATTGGTTGAAACTTTGGGTTTTTGCTGTTGTCTAGTGATCCAGCTGCATGTCTGTGTATCATAACATTTTTCATGTATGTGTGAATTGAGATGTTTAAATGAATGAAAAGGTATTGATAATCTGAAATTGGCAATTTCTTTTGGTTTATTACATTTATAACCCTGTTATTGAAAATCCCAGACATTGTATAGCTCTGTTTCTTTCCCTACTTGAAGGGTCATCTTCTCATTACCAACCCTCTGTACTATCGCTGGTGGCTTGTAAGTCGTGTAAAGTCCATGTTCATTGCATCTTGGTAGTGCATCTTGCTTTGCATCTGAGAGAATGCAGCATACACCTGCTTAGGGGTGTGGGATTCAAATTGGATTCATTTGTTTTTTTGTTTGTTTTGGTTTTTGCATTTCATAGGACAAATTGTACAGTCATTACAGATGTACTCTTCCATTGCCAAAATAAAATGACTATTAAACTATCAAGTTGAGATGCAATTTTTTTTTGTTTACTCTTTTGTTCATTATTATAATTGTTTATGGCGGCAGGCCTTGGTTTGGAGTTTAATATCTGTCTCTGCTGTTGCATGATATGAGAGTGTCTATTAGCTGGTATTAATTAAAATTTCAATTGTATTGAATGAAAATACAAAGTTTCAGTCTCAGAAGACAAACTTCTGCGCAGATCGTTTAGAAGATACTCTATAAAGGATTATAGAGGATTGCATTGTTTGACAGTTACCCAGTTCAATGTTTCAATCCCACAGACTAGAAGAAAAAAGATATTGACGGAATTTTATTCATATTGCCGATATTGAACTTTTCCTGCCATTGAAAAAGTATCAGTAATTAGTAATAAGCAACTACTGTCATTCTTGAGATTCGTGGTTTGTCTGAAATAGTCTTCCATGGCTGTGACTGTTGCCATTACATACCCACACACTTGCAACCAGCGATGACCTAGACCTAGCTCTCAATACACAATTCAGGCTGCAGCCTTGCTGTATTAACTTCCTAACATTCTTATCCTGCCATGCATCCATGCAAGAGTTAGACACATTGTGCTAAATACCACTACTCTGTCACCTCTTTCAGCATGAGCCTGATGTGATTGAGCCCACCCAGGGCCTCCCGCTAGATGTTGGTATCTCCTTCATCAACCGCATCATGAACCTGGTGGACGTGTTGGTCTTTGCCAGCAACCAGAACTTTGGCGAGCTGGAGGTAGAGAAGAATATGCCACGAGGGGGCATCCTACGCCAGTGTCTGCGACTCAGTGAGTGACATCCTTTGTGACAGCAACAGTGCTCCACATCAAGGATATATCTATTCTGGTGACTTTGGTGTACCTCACAAATTTAGAACTGATCAGAGCAACAGATTTGAAGCTTTGGTGGAAAGGTTCTTTGTTCTGGTTTCCAGTGTTTGTGACAATAAGAACAACTTCTATGTGTTAGGATACTTTTTTGCAAAACTTTCTGTACTTTGTGTTTTAAAGTTGGGAATCTCAATAGATATGCTTTCATCAAAGTAATTTTTTTTGCTGGTTTTACACATATGCCATGAACACAGAGTCTTGAATTTATCATAGAATGACCCGTTCTTATGGTACTTTTCCTGTATATCTACTCCCAGCTACCTTCTGTGCCATCCGCAACGTCTTGGAGTGTCGATTTCGGACTCAGCCCTCCCCAAGCTCCAGTCACATCAGCCTGAGTACCCTCAGCGCAGCTGAGCCCACCAGCCCTACAGGCCGCCTCCAGACACTCATTAATGCCACCCAGCCATCCACAAGGGTAAGGTCAAGGTTCAGAGGTCATGCAGGATAAAATGAAGAAGGGTCATTTCAGAAGTTTAAACTATTGTATTTATGTAGTTTGTGATTTTGTAATGGTATTTGAGCTTTTGAGTATTTAAAATTAAACAAAACAATTTAGAATATTAAATTTCTTTTAATTAAAAAAATAAATCCCAAATTTGCAGTTGCAATTATCTGCTTTTTGTTGATTGAACCTCAAAGCTTACTAAACATTTGCACCAAAATCTTTGATTTGTAAAGGATTATTAACTGCAATTTACTGATATTTAGGAACTTTTGAATCACCTCATTGCATGCAGTAAGCATCCCCTCATCTCCACAGTCAACCCCAACTCATTAAAAAACAAGCCCGACCCACATGTATATTACATTAGCAAGAGCAATAGTCTTGAAGTCCACAGAAATTTAGCATTTGTAAAGAAGACAAACCTGTCTTCTTGAAAGGTATCATTTGTCTTGGTGAAGGATGTACCAGTAATTTCAGTTCTTCTTTGGTCAGGTTCAAACCCATCAATCTACTGCAATGTATTGGCGCTTCCATCTTATCAAATCAATTGATACTCTTAGTTGTAGGTTTGGATGGGTGTAGTGTTAAGGTTTATGGGTCCTGGTTTTCACCAGCAACATAGGTAAATTTCAAACTCATCAAGACAAGCTTATAAAACCGTTTACTGATTCGGTCTTGCCTTTGATATCCCGATGGCCACACGCAGCCAATTGGTTTAAAAGTAACGGCCGGCGCCCGGAAAAGGGTGAGCATTTTGTCGATGTGACTCCAGATTAACCTTTTACCTCTGACCCAGCTGCTAACATTGATGATGAAACATTTCCAAAAGTCAGATGTTGGTTTTTTGTCCCCCTCCCCTTTGAGGTTGCTCTAACCCCTCCTCCTGTTTCCCGTGACTATTCTGCTTGACGTCTTCTTCAGATTTGTCTCAGTCTCCTTGATGTCTTTGGCTTCTTCTACTATTGTTCTGAAATCTTTTCTCTCATCCCGTAACGTCGTCCACTTTGCAGGTTCTGTGCATGAGTTGAAATTCTGGAATGCTCTCCAGTTTGGGAATATCCAGCTCTCTTCTTCTGGTCTTAGGTGCTTGTTATCTTACCACAGTTATGATGATGTCAGTTTACGACGAAACGTTTTGCTCAGCTTTATTGAATATTTAAAGCTTTACCATTGGGGGAAAAATAGACAAAACCTTCCTACTACCCTACCACCTCTGAATCCCCAGGAATTGGAAGATTCAAGACTTTGTAGGTTAACAGTTGTCAAATCATTTTAAACGTGTGTGGAATCAAGCTTTATCTCTCCGATTTTACGTAAATTTTCGTTTTTACTTTTACTTCATAAAATGTTTTTATCGGAATAAATTTGCCTTTTTATGATTTTGGGATTTTTTCCCCATAGACTTACAAAAATATCAGAATTTTTGTGCTTTCAGAATGTGAACTTATTTCAGCAGTAGTTTTCTAAGGTATCTATCATACCAGAATCCATGTTAAAAACTCTCCAACTTTTCCATCAAGTGCTTGTTTCATTGCAGTTTCCCTCTTCTCAGATTGCATCCCTCTTTGATATCCCCCGCCCCGCCCCCTCTTTTGCATGTGACATTGACAATCCCTCAGTCAGTTTTTCACATTTCCCTGTTTTTGCTTGTTTTTGCATTTTGGATTTACTTTGTTTAGTTACAGGGAAAGTATCCATCGGTGCTCAAGGTACATGGCCATTGCACTGCCATTTTCTGTTGGTTTGATTTTTTTTGGTTTTATCAACAAAGTTGTACTTTTTTTGCTGTCAGCATTTCAAGTGCTTATGTTATTTGGTGGATCGGGCACTAACTCATTTCATTCCCAACCTCTTTTCAGTGCAGTTGTTCTCCATTTCATATATCATATCAACATGTCATTTTGACAGGGTGCCATACTCATCCACTCTTGTCCTCCCTCATTGGTCCTTTTTTTCGAGCTCTCGAAACTAACTCCATTCATTAAATTCTGACACGTGAAATAAATGATTATTTGCAGCACTGTTGTCAATAGTATCTACTGAAACCTACAATTTTTTCTGTATATTTGCTTCCGAGTTGCGGAATGCAGATATATAAAAGGAGAAAAAAGAACGAAGTTAGACACATTGTTCAATTCACAATGCCCGGCACTACCAAGAGATCTTGAGAGAGGCCATTATTTTATTGTGTGTAATTTAAAGACGTCTTCACATATGGATCTTTTTGTGTGTTTTTGAGTGACAGTGGAAAGAGTTAATTCATTTACGAGGCATTCCAAAATGTATTGTGTTTTTGTAACATCACACGCAAACAATGAATGATGTTAGATTATTAACCACAGTGTGACGTGCAAGATACACTGTACCAACCACTGAATAGGAAAGTGGAGTCTTTCAGACAACTTGGTGGTGCACTTTATTGTTAATGGCTTCTGTAGAAAGTCTGTAATGAATGTGAGTGGTTCAGTGCACTCAAAGCTAAAAGGAATACAATCTGGCATTTGAAACTTGACAAAACTCCAGCTTTAAGCATATTTCAATGTTTCATGGGATGAATGCATGTAGCATGGAGATTACCATTGCTGGTTGAGCAAGCATTGCTGATGGTTACACTCATCATCATTCATACTGCTTACAGTCTCCATAATAATAAACAATAAGAATGATTTCTAAGAGCTGCCATACAGGAAATAATGCATAGTGGAAGTCAGACAACCCCCTGTTCCAAAGTAGTGTGAAAGCATTCCATTTTTCCTTTCTCTTGAATCAAATCGTTAACGTGTTTAGCAAGTATCTGTGCTTTATGCAGCAAATCAGGAAATTATGGTTGGATGCATTAAACATTTAGAATTGGCATTAACCACTTCATGCCGGGGCATTTTTCAATGTTGATGATGCTGGGCCGGCATGACTGTCATTTTTTCCGTTTTCAAAATCCTTCAAAAATTCATCATTTCACGTAACGGTTGTTTATAGCCGCT